GTTTTCACATGGAGTTTGTTCAGTTTAGATGGAAATTGAAAAAAATAAAAATGTGTAAAATTATTTACTAAATAATTGACATGTTCCTGTTTACTTTATTCTCCTATGGTTAACTACTTTGAACAAGTAGTGTCTTGGATAGATATCATGCATTACCCTCTATCTTTAATGAACTCTTACCAAATATGTTTTTTTGGTTCTTATTTTTTTTCCTGCACCTGCATAAGCGGAAGTCTTATGTGATCACTTCCTGTTGATTGTTTCAGATAACACTGCTGGGGTTCTAACGAGAAGAAGCAGTTTTAGCAGAAAGGACAGGGCATATTATTACCTGCCTATCGTTATTGTTGACAATGGCACCCCAGCACTCACTAGCACCACAACCCTCACAATCGAAGTATGCAGCTGCTACCCAGATGGCAATTGCCGATCTAATGGTGTGGAGGCTTTTGCCCTGTCCATTGGCCTTAGCATTGAGACCCTAATTGCAATTTCATCATGTCTGCTGATTATAGTAGGTAAGTTGATAACTCCTTCTTTAATTTGTGCCCAGAATTTTATAACATTAGTTCATTTTTACAGAGTGAAAGGTTTGTGCAAAATTTGGAATCATGGCAAAATGGTTTTGTGCAAAATTTTGAAAACAAGATTTGATTCCATGTCAGGAAAAATACAAGAATGAATTCTATCATTATCTAACAAAAAATCTAACCTGAGGCTTGTAATATTGTTTATTCTAACAGACATGAGGAAGTTTATCAAAAGGTTTGAAAGCAAGGCTATAGCTGAGGTAAAATACAACAGTCAGATGTATGAGAAGGATAAGCAAAATATGGTTGTCTCTCTCCTAGGATTTACTGTACATCCTATGAAACAATAGTGGTTTGGACTTATTTAAAACATTAGAGCAGGAAATTGTCAAAGAATGAAAAGCGTGTGTAAAATGATTTGAACTGTGCTTGGAACTCTATCTGTCCAGATTACCATACCAAACATACGGTATGGCTAAAATACTTACTGTAGGATTTGCAATGACTGAAGTGCTTTTTAATGAATAACATGCATGGACTGACAGTTTGTGAATGTAACCAAGATAGATCTTTTTTACGATTGGATTTATTTGCTTTAAAATTGTATGTACAGTATTTTCCATTCTCTTCACATAATTAAAAATAAATTGTGTTATTCAGGTTAACAACTCTCCTACTGGAGTCTTATGCAGGTGTTCTGAAGCTTCCATTTCATTGTACACACTGCAAATAAACTTTGTTTCCACATAAACTCAAAGATAATTGTCTAAAGACCAAAAAATGCAATTAAGAAGACATGTTTTACAGGACAAAACAGTTATGCATAACATACAACAATATGTAAAAAATATAAAAAATAGCATTGAGATTTCTTCATATTTTAAAAAACAAATGCCATTTGTACAATTATTATGACACTTATAGAATATTTAGAACTGATAACCAAGTGATCAAAAGTAAAATGGAAATGTGTAATTTAAACACTTACTATAAATAAACAAAGTACTGCAGTCATATGCCCAATTCAATAATGAGAAACTCCTGGAGACATAGCAGACAAATACCAAAAGTTACAGTGTAGGGTAACATTAGAAAATAGCTAAACTTCTGCAGCTAAACCCAGCTGTTGAAGACCAAGCAAGATCTCAGTATGGCAACTGAGTTATTCAATGTTCAATTAGCCTGTTACAGTTCTCATATTAGATAAATGTCCCTGGTCAAATCCCAAGATGCAAATATACATATTAAGAATAATAAGCAGAATAATGTTATTTTACCATTTTGCCAAACCACTAATAAAAGTGTGTAGGTTTCCAATGTTCTATGAGGGCATTGATGAATGTTGATAATTTTTTTCACATTTAAAGTTCAGACACATATAAACTCCAAGAGATGATCCATACACTTGTACAAACAGGGTAGAATACGAAGAAAAGTTCCTCATACTTGGTGTTACAATTTTTAAGCAGATGGAATTTGTGTAATGTACAGTAAAGTTTGCTTTTCATCCTCAGCCAACAGCAACTTTCATTATAAAAACATAAAAACAGGCTTAAAAATATCAAGATGTTCATGCTTAGCCAATGCTAGAATGCTCATCATGTCTCTGAACATTTTGTGAACTCTATGAAAGAGTTTATGTAAATAAAGGAGATAAATAATAGCCATCCAAATTCTCAGGTCTAACTCCCAAGCTGTGAGTTGAATTGGTACTTTTTTGCTAAAGCAAATAGCAGAACTAAAAACAGTTTATTGAACAAGGAAGCAACACTTTACATGTAATTTGTCAGAAACAGCTTTTCAGAATTTAGTTTACTTTGCTAATTTTAATTTTCACACCCATTTTCATATATCCCATCAAAGCTTTTTAGATATATTCATAGTATTTACTAGACACATTTTAAAACTACAAATATATAAATATATATTATAATATTGTCACCATTGCTCAGAAGTGTTTTCATCATAAATACAAAACCCTGATTCATACATACTGTAATTGATCAATTGTGATTGATGAGTAGGACAACATACTATTGTCCTTGTCAATTTCTTGTGCTGTAATCAAGCTTTTTCACTTAAGGGACTAGCAGAAGTCTGTCATCATTTTGACATCCCACCTTCTTTTTTTCATAATCTTGATATCCTGTTCAAACATTTCTGTTATGACCATCTTTATAGCCCTATAGGGTGCTCTACCTTTCTGTCTTGTTCCTTGGTTCCCTGTGCCTGTTCATGTGCTTCCGGTGCGTCTGGTGGAGGTGTGCTATTTATTTCCGGTCTGTCCTATCCTCCTCACTCGGCATTGGGATCGGTTGTCCAGAGGCTCACCTCACCAGGTCGCCCCACATCCGCTACCTGAGGGCTTGTCCCCGCCTCTGCCCGAGACCTTGAGCCTGGTGTGAACCCCCTGCTTCTTCGCATTGGGTCTTTTAGTCTTGCCAGTCTCACTCCACGGCTAGCCTCCGGCTTCTGTGACAGAATGCCAAGCCTGCACTGGACCCTGTGAGCGAGTCTGGCCTCCCTGGCTTCTGGTTTCCTGCCTTCCCTAGCCTCTGTTTCCCTTTCTCCCTGGTCTTTTTTTTCTGGTTTCCTGGCCTCTCTGGCTTCTGATTCCCTGGCCTACCCAGCTTCTGGTTCCCTGGCCTACATGGCTTCTGGTTCCCTGTCTCCCTGGTCTTTTTATGTATTGTTTGTCCCCATGGATTCCGCGGTTTTATCGGTCGTGCGTTATTTTTTCCGATTGTTCGGTCAGGGTTTATTTCTGTTGTACGTTATTTTTTACATGTTTTATCTGTTTTTTGTCTTTGTCCTCATGAGCCCCGCCCAGCTTCCCCTCCCTCTTCTAATAAAGGTTTACGCTGGATGAGGGGGTTAGCTCTCAGCCATGGACTCACAGAGGTTTCCTTTTTCCTCCCCCCAGTGCTGTGCAGCTTATTATTTTTTGGGCGTCCGGAGCCACCCTTGAAGGTGTGTGTGGGAGAGTACTGTCACAGGTCTCTTCCTACCCCTAGAGGATGCTCCACCTTTTTGTCCTGTTCCTTGCTTCCCTGTGCCTGTTCATGTGCTTGGGGTGCACCTGGTGGAGGTTTGTTATTTATTTCCGGTCTGTCCTTTCCTCCTCACTCAATTGGGATTGGTTGTCGAGAGGCTTGCATTACCAGGTTGCCCCACGTCCTCTACCTGAGGCTTATGTCTGATAAGTTGAGCCCGGAGCGAACACTGGGATTCCTGGCGCTTCGCATAGGGTCTTCTCGTCTCACTGGTCTCTCTCCACGAGTAGCCTCTGGCTTCCGTGACAATTTCTCTTTGTTCCTCACTCACACTACCAAGATGTTCTGGAAAATTGTACACATCTGTGTAAAATAACTTTTTAAGCTGTTGTGGCAAGTGAAAAGAAAGATCTGTGCCTTAGAGTATACTGTAGGTCTCATTGTAGATTAAAGGTAGGGATAGGACAAAAAGTTAGGGAGAAGAATAGTATTTTTTATCTTTACGCCACAGGTGTTTAAACCTTGTGTGGAGCTCAAAATATGCATGATATACTTTCTTTAACATTTCCTTAATATTTGTATTAAACTAAATCTGGGACCTGCAGGGTTCTGTAGGTACAGCAAGACTCATGGGGTCAGAAATCTGGTTTGAAAAAATGTGATTGATTAACTCTGTGCCAAGATCAACTTTATTATTTATACTGTATATAATAAAATACAGACTTTCATGCAGACAGGGTGAATTGATTCTATGGAGTTACTGTACAATTCTATTTAATTTCCAGTTCAACTATTGCATTACTCTTACTGGGCTTCCCAAGTGGTTTAACCAGTAAAGGCAATTGCCCAAAGCACAGGGTGAGCTCTATGATGCATTTGTACAAATACATTTACTGTGTATCTGTATAGGGATATAAGAATATAACATCTGAACATATATGTATGTAATAAACCATTATTTGTTTATATTGCACACATATATTGCGTAATTGTGTGTGAAGGAACAAGTAATAGATTTATTCCATGTTGAAATGAGAAGAAAGAAAACACAATGTTTCAGCTGTGAAGCCTTCTTCGGGTGTCAATTGACAAGGAAAATATTATGGTGTCCTACTCATCAATGACAATTGATCAATTACGTATGTTTTTTTAAATTTATTATGAAAACATTTCTGAGCAGTTGTGATAAAACTATACTATATATTTATATATTTGTAGTAATTTCTCTAGTAAGTTCTATGAATATATCTAAAAAACCCTGATGGGATATATTAAAATGGTTGTGAAGATTAAAATTACCAAAGTAAACTAAATTCTGAAAAGCTGTTTCTGACAAATTTCATGTAGAGTGTTGCTTCCTTCTTCAATAAACTGTTTTTAGTTCTGCTATTTCTGCTATTTGCTTTAGCAAAGAAGTACCGATTCAACTCATAACTTGGGAATTAGACTGAGGATTTAGATGGCTACTATTTATCTCCTTTATTTACAGAAACCCCATTGTAGACTTCACAAAATGCTTAGAGACATGATGAGCTTTCTAGCACTGGCTAAGCATGAACTTCTTGATATTTTTCAGCCTGTTTTGATCTTTCTATAATTGTGTGTATGTCTATATATAGTACCACCCATACAATATGGGTGACATGCATTCGCCAGGAAATTGTATGTGATGAAAAAACAAAATGGATGTCACTTTTGGATTCAACTCCCTGAATTGACAGAAAACAGCTATGTACATTTGAAACAATTATGTAGGCCATGCTTTATTATGTTTTGTTATGAATTCGTACCAATAATAATTGCTAAATGCAGTGCTGCCCTCTGTATTGCTGAAATACTACCTGTGTATTGCTTAAACAGTTGTTATATCCCATGCTGATGTGCTTTAGTTTTTTTTTTTATTAAACTGTTGTCATGAGTATAATATAGTTATGTTTCTGTCTACTGCTGCAGGATGCTGTGATAAATGACATGATATATGTTATTTAGTCCATTGGCTTGCTTATACAATTTCTAACCATTAGTTTAATCATATCAGTTACTCCCCTAACAATTTTGTGTTGCAGTCCTTTCACTACTAATACTGGCAGTGAAGAGACATAAGAAGAAGCAGCTTGGTGACGAGAAATGGGAGGAAGTGGCAGAGAATGTTGTATGTTACAATGAGAAGGGATATGGGGAAGAGGATACCCATGCCATTGTCCCAGTCATTCTGAGATCCAACCCAAAGCAGAGGAATCGGAGAACTCATAAAGAAGAAGTGGCTGCAAGCATCCGTATGTCTCTGAGGCAGTCCTTTCTAATTGGACCTGAGGATGAAGTCTTCAGGCAGTTTATTTTGGAGAGGCTGTTTGAGGCTGACACTGATCCTTACGCTCCTCCTTTTGATTACTTGCACACATTTGCCTATGAAGGGACAGGCTCAGCAGCTGGGTCACTAAGTTCTCTTGGTTCATGGCCTTCTGAACAGAATTATGATTACATCTGTGACTCTGGACCATGTTTCAAAAGACTTGCTTATTTGTATGTTGGTGGTCATGAGGAAACAGACCTGTAGGCCAAAATAATACCTAAGGTCAATTCATATATAAAGAATATGGACATTTCCTTCTTATTGGTGACATTTAGAATCATTTTGAAAGAATAGATGCACATACATGTACAGTTTTATAATGGAATTGTTGCTCTTTACTTTTAGGCATGCAGTGCCTTATTGCCTTTTTTAACAAATGTAAAACTAACAATGCAGCTTTTCTAATACTGTATCACATATGCTGTTATGCTGTTGCATTGTTACATTAACATAAATGTAAAAATCTCAAAACATTTAATCTTGAAAACATTAAACTGACCAAACAAAATCCATGCTAAAGAAATCGCATATTTATAAAATACATTTAATCTTTAAGTGACATTCCTGAAGACAATTAAATACAGTAGATCCCTTTTCCAAGTACTTTTCATGTGCTCACATTTACAACAGTCCATGAGGTTTAAAATAATTGTGAAATAAAATAGTCAAATTTGAGACTCACAGTAAGAAAACCAAAGAAAAATAAAGGTAAGGTAATTTAGCACCCATCTTAATTTCCTTATTTATTTCCCTGCATGATATGATGTTGTCTTGCATTAAAGATGACTGAGTATTGATTTATTTTTATTACTGATGTTTCAGATACAGTACATTCATTATCTAGCTTTGGTAAGTTCACTCCAAGATAAATTAGTTACCTGTTTGGGTTTGATGTAAACACTTTCATGACATGGACATTAAGCAGACACAGTAAACATGGTGTAAATTAGAGCACAAAAAGAAAGAAACAACAATTAAAAAATGATGCTCACATTAACACAGATATATAGACCATGGGTGTCACAGACAGATCTCTGATTCGCAAATCCCCAAGTCAAAAGACTTGTCTTTTGCTGGGAAGATTTCCAATTTTCCTGAGAGACCCAGGAAGCAATGTCACAATTACCATCTTATTCTACACCATCTGCCTTGAAAAATAAAAATAAGTTTCAAATGCTTCTGTTTTTCTATTCTTTGTAAAAATCTTTTTTTTTTTCCCCAAATGATAATGTCTTCATTAAAATGTTTGCATTTTAGGAAACTTTGTAAAGTGTCCATTTTTGGTGATTAAAAGTGGGGTCCGTTATTTATATATTAAAAGGGCTATACTGCTTCTTTCAATTGTGTTCCAGAACAAAAATAAAATGTTCTGATATTATGAAAAAACTTTAAGTTGTTCATCTTTTTAATTTTTTTCCCCTGTTTCCAGTGTAGCTGGGTCTTGGTTTATTTTTTTGATAGAAGGCATCAAACCATACTTATTATGGTAGAATTGTATGATTTTTTCTTTGCAAAAGTATGTTTCGATTTGCATTATGTTGTTTTATTTAGTTAAAAATCAAATTAAAAACCCAATTCAAAATATTGAATTATATAACTTATGACATAAATACTTCAAATAAAAGAGATGAAAGGGTAAGTACTGTTTATTACAATTTATGTATGTGTGACATGAAAAGTAAATGTTTATTACCCTATGAAAAAATTAACTGTATGTTATCATTAAACTATGAAAGCTGTATATATTATTAGTTTTATAACAAACATCAACTGAAATTTTCAGTTAGTGTATACATTTCCATTGTGATGAATGTTTGAGCAGTTTAACTTAGTCATTTACTGAATGTATTCTTTTAGGTAATGTGTATGACTGAATGGCAGTATAAATGGCATAATTTGAAGTGTCTAAATGCATCCCTATTTTTATAACTAAAATAAAATAATTTAAACACTTGTGTAGTAATCAGCAAAAAATGAGTAAAATTAGTAAAAATCACTGCACCTCTAAACTCCATACTGCATTTTCTTGCCTGAGACACAATGCATGTTTAAATTTTCACTTGTCAAAATAGAGCTAATCTTCTTTGCAAAATCATATTGTCCTAATCCAATACTTTACAGATTAATTAAACAATTTTTGTATGGATCAATCACTGCTGCCACTAATTACTGCAAATTCAAAAGTGAAAATAAAGCCCCAGGATGAAAAGGAATGTGGGATTATCACAGAAATCAAAACTTAACACATCCGAGAGTTCAGCCAAGGTGCAAGAGCTATTAGTAGAAATTCTTTGGTCTCCTACAGTTGGTTATGTACTTGTGAATAGGATTAGTTTTTTGCCAAACTGGCATTACTTGACATTTTCTGTAAATAATTCAGAGTTTAATGGCAGAAATACCACAGGGAACAAATTAGGCACAGGGAAGAAAAAATATTGATTTATATTTAGTTATAAAATAGCTTTTGAAAATTAAAATTGAATGTAAGCAACAAATGTATTTCTAATCAGATAATAAAATATTTACTCTCATTTTTAATCTTGTAAAAATTGTACTCTGGGGTATTGCGTGATAATATACTCCCCAAACACATACAGTAAGAAATCAAAAGAGAATATGTTATACATGTATGATTACTGGGAAATGTGACTATTATGCACCAGGACAGCCAATCATTAAATGTAAAATTGCTGTCTCGCGTAGTGAACAGTTTTTGTCAATATACGTTCAACTTTTACAGGTTTTTTATAATTATTTTGTTGTGCAGTTCAATTGGTTGTCTCCCATAAGTTAATGATGAAGTAATTTAAAAATGAATGACTGTTGCTCTGTATGCCACTGATATTTTATGGTTAGCTTAGCCACCAGTCTTTAACTGTAAAATTAATGCCTAACTATAAATTTGTTTACAGCATTTTTCTGTAAGTATATACTGTATTTTATATTTACATTTTAAGGGATTTACAATACATGAAATACTGTTTGAAATCTTTTAACTTCATTATGCTGTCATATTTACTATATTTTCCATATGTTTTACATTTATATATATTTTGTTGGTGTCCTGTCCAGAGTGTACCCTGCCTTGCACCCGTTGCTTGCTGGGATAGGCTCTTGCTCTCCTGTGACTCTGACTTGCAAGAAGCAGTTTGAAAATTGATTAATTGGATAAACATTTTGCCATATGCTTCCATTTTAGATTAATTTAAGATAATTAAGACCTTGCTCTCTGCCCACTCCACTAATTACACATATCACTTGAGAACAGCATTTTCTCTCGATTTCTATAAATCAAGGTGGTATCTCTTGGGTTGACTGTGTACTGCTTCTCTGACTGTGTCATTTAACCTTCGTGCCTCTGTCTGGATTTAATTTTGCAAGGTGCCTGAAACAACAGCATTATTAACTGCCATTCAAGATTTGTTAGCTGTTAAGTTTTGACATCTATTTGTTAGAATACTTGAACAATCCACTGCAGACACTGAACAGTTTGGTATTGTATAAATGTATGTACAGTCACAGACAAAAGACTCTAAAAAGAGCTTTACCAAACAACAAATTATCCAAATGTTTCTACAGTATCTACAACAGCAACACTATCTTGGATAAAAAACGGGGAAAAGTGTTGTTGTGCTCCACGTCTCCTATCAGACATGTTTAGAAAATGTAATTCTTCCACCATTTAACTCCTGCATAAATGCATGAGCTGAAGTATCCTTCAAATGTTAGTAATCAAACATACACTACATACAGTGTTCTAAGTATTATGTACAATGTGGCTAATAACTTCACATAAACAGAATTTCAAGTATTTTAATTTTTAGTGAAATTTAAGAAATTCTATTTTTTCTGCAGTTCTCTCTTCCACAACATACTAAATGATTAGTCGAAGATACAGTACGTGTCTCAGGGTGGACCTATTACTGCTCTCAGTAATCACATTCAAAACATAGTTTTAATTATTATTGTGGCTGTAAGTGGTGTGGGTGGATCAATAGAAGGCACTTTTAATGCCTGTGGCAAAGATCGTAAGAACAGTACTTGAACCCTGTTGTCAGTGTTGAACCCTGTATTCTTTGCTAAATTCCAGTTTAGGCTTGCACAATCTGACCGTAAATCGTAACTCTTGCTTTACTTATTGAAGTAATTTTTATTCACCTACCATAATCTGCTATGCAGTGGGCTTGTAGACATAAATGCTACATTTCACCAGGTAGGTGCACCACTGCAGCAGTGAATGAAGTGGGATCCCCACTATATCTAAAGCTCTTTGGGATGTTAGAAGCTTGAAAAATTCTATAAACCACTGCGATTAGGAAG